AGCCCCTTAATGCCGAGCGCCAGACTGGGTAACAACAAGTACCATCTTTTAATGTCTTTGGGTATGACGCGGTCGGGGATCGAAGCCCGGACCTTCCGCTCTCCGTGCGGACGCTCTAACACTAGACCACGGAGGCGGTCGCATATACCTGAACATAATTAGCATACACCTGAACAGAATTAGATTCTCAGTACTTCGAAAATGTCTTCATCTAAAAAATTACTCGACGTAGCAAAGATACTAATATGAATACCTCAAAGGTATTTCTTTTTGAATATAAAATCCATAGCTTTTTGTATCGATGTTTGCCAGCTAAAACATTCAGAGAGATAGTTATAACATTTTTTTAATAAAGCTCGAGTCGGTAGCTAAAAAAAATATGTTGGAAATAAACTTAATAGATGAGAGTGCTTCGCGTAAAAATAACATCTCGATAGCAGATTCTTCAGTATAGTGAATGAATACGCCCATTCCCTTTTAATATTTCCTTTAAAGGATTTTTGAAATACACCACCTATTTTTTGCCATAAAAGAATTTTTTCAGGGATATATTTACATGGGTGTCACTGCATATGAAAAAAACATGTTATGAAAATATGGCACATGTTTGTTCAGATAATGGAATTTGTGGTCTGTTTGAGTTGGCATCCGCCACAATGAAATTATGATTCTAACATAAACAAAATACGGGATTTTAAATTGGGTCTGGAAATATATCTGTGAAAGGTTGAATTCAAACTGATGATCTGCAGAGATGGTCATAGTTGACACTGCCCGTTGAAAAAACGTTCAGGTGAGGTTGTCATGGAAACCGCTACAGTGCAAAGCTGAACTGAATCAACTCGATCTAGACGTCTGTGTGTGTCAACGCGTGTCTGAAATGTATGGAATCCTAGAAAGACATTGTTGCGTTGTCGGCATTCTAAATTCAAGCAAAAAGTGTCAAAATTAACTAAAGCACGACGATGCAACGACACAACATTTTGAACAATCTCGTGCTTTGAATATCATTTCTTTTTTACCAAAGAGCAACAAAACGACGGTCTTCAAAATCGAAATGTCGCCCTATCTAAAATGTGAAAATGTCGTTAAAATGTACCACAACGAGATAAACCTTGAAAAATGTGGCGTTGGCCAAAATGTCGCTTTGGTTGATTTTGTCAGATTTCTTTGTGTTGTTGGACAGCCTCCGTGGTCTAGTGGTAGAGTGTCCGCCCGCGTCAAACGAAAAGACGTTAAAATATGGTACTTGTTGTTACCTTGTCTGGCGCTCGACGTTAAAGGGCTAAAACAAGGACTGGTCGGCTCGGAGTCAGTATACTATGTCTCAGTGGGGTATTCATGTTAAACTGCGGCATGGTATCTCAGTGTGCTAGCACTATAAATCGGCATCAGTCCGAACTAGTACAAGCAGCCACACATACACACACGTGCATGCACGTCGCAATATGAATGCAATAATCTTGGACGTGAATTAAACCCGATTTCACCTCACCTGACCTTGCAACGATAATATGATGAAAGACGTTTTATGTCGTAGAGGGTAGGACAAGGTTGGCCAAGTCGTGGCAGGCGCCACCACAATTCGCTGTGCGCAGTTGCGACCCTTAGGCGTGACAGGCACCTATGATGGCGGGTTCGAATCCTGTATTCGCCCTGAACATGACTGTAAACACCAACCCGTGCTCCTGGACTTCATCAAATTTCCATAATTGCACCACACACCCCACACCCCACCCCCACCCCCACCCCCACGTACGTCTACTGACACGCCGTGTAACTGGAATACTGTTCAAAGCGGCGTCAAACCAAACTCACTCACACACTAAAATTAGTATTTACTCTACTTGTTGAATACGAAATATGATCGTGATTTACCTAAAATATGAACCTAGTAGATTGCGACTCTCACGTCCACGTCAACGCTGCTTAGGGCTATTCTCCGACATTAAACTAGCATGTTGTTTAAAGCGACGTTCAACAAAACTCCTTCCCTCACTTTCAGATCTTGTGTAGACAACAAGGGACAAGGTATGATACCGCCCCTTTTAGCCAACTAAAAATGCTAAATGTTTAAATACTGTCAGTTAAATCATCGAACTGGTTCATGTGATGGTCATCGTATCATTTTTTTATATCAATTACAAGTTTTGGACTTTTAGGATATAAGAATCAAAAGAAAATATACTGAACCAAATTAAAAACTTCACAATCCTAAAATTTTAACATTTTGACCAGTTATCATTGTGGGCCCTTATTGTGTATTTAAACAGTAATGACCACGTATTGTCTTCAGATGCCATACTTGTTAGCAGTCATTAACAAAAAGAGAAAAACACAAGAAAACAAAAGTCTTTACGGCCATTTGTCATGCCACGCCTTTCAAATGTGCAACGTGAACATGCCATCGGCATGTTGCAGACGGGAACGTCCGTAGCTGAAGTCGCAAGGACGATGGGCTGTAGTCGACGGACTGTTTATGATTTACAGACGCGTCTACAGCAAACGGGTACCACCACTGATCGCCCTCGGCCAGGTCGACCACGTGTGACGTCACATGCAGAGGATCGTCAGATTGTCTTACGTCACCTCCGTTACCGATTTTTGAGGGCTACATCAACCAGAAATGAACTGTTTAGGGGTAGACTGAGTGCGCAAACTGTTCGAAACCGTCTGAGAACTGCTCACCTTCAAGCACGACGGCCATACTGCCGGCCGATTCTGACTCAATTACACAGACGTCAACGTCAATTGTGGGCACAGCGACACTTACGATGGATTCAGAGGAAATGGAATCAAGTCGTCTTCAGTGATGAATCCCGATTTAATCTTCGATTTGCTGATAGTAAGGCGAGGGTGTGGAGGCGCCGTCATGAACGTTACGCCCAGTGTTGTGTACAGGAAGTTGACAGATTTCGAGGCGGAAGTGTCATGGTGTGGGGTGCTTTCTGTGGCAATGCACGTTCCAGGCTTCTTGTCATCCGTGACAACCTCAAAGCTGCTGCTTACCGCGACAAGGTACTGGCACCAGAACTTCTGCCTTTTATGGCAGCACATGAACCCGGGTTAATCTTCCAACACGACAATGCCAGACCCCACACAGCAATTTTGACAAGGAATTTCCTTCAGGATGCGGGAGTCAACGTCATGGACTGGCCGTATCCCGACCTCAATCCCATCGAACACGTCTGGGATGCTCTTGGCAGAAGTCTGCGAACTCTCCAGAACCAACCACAGAAATTGCAAGATCTTGGCACCATTTTGCAGCAACAATGGCGTCGTCTTCCCAATCATGTGTTCACAAGCATCACAAGGTCCATGCGGAGGCGTTGTGTGGCAGTTGTCAACGCACATGGTTTGCCATACACGCTACTGAACTTGTGTGCCATCAGATTCTCGTGCTTGGGACTTATGATTTAAACTGTTGATGTTATTACCGAATACCGTAGGTGCTTGGAACAAATTATGGTTACCACCGTTAATTAAAAATCCTTCTTTGGACATTAATGATTAAAAATTATCTTCTCTGATACATTTGTCCGTTGTATATCACATATGGGATTACTTTTAAAAATGTGAAGTTTTAATATGACTCAGTATACGTGAGGAAGTGATCCAAGATTTTTTTTTGCTCTTATTGTTTACAATGAAAATTATGCTTGGGTCAAAGACTTGCTCGTGTTCGAAGATTAAAAACATACACGTCCCGATATTAAATATTTAATATCAACCTTATTGACATATTCATCTCGAAAAAAGACACGCACTGTTCATATAATTCAATATTAAATATCCATATAAAAAAACATTATCCTGTTTTAATTCCTGACGAGCGTCCGTGTGTTTATACAAATTAGTGGCATACCAATATTGACTACAGAAACTGACATCGATTCACTAGTGACACGTTTTGTAACCATGACAATAGTTTTTACTTTTTTGCATCACGTGCTATGAGGGCAACACTTCAGCAGGTATCGTTGAGGTGAGGTGAAATGGGGTTTAACGTCGCGTCCAAGATTATTACACTTATACTTATATATATATATATATGGACGTGCATGAACGTGTGTGTGTGTGTGGCTGCTTGTACTAGACCGGACTGATGCCGATTAATAGTGCTAGCCCACTAAGATACCATGCCGCAGTTTAACATGAATACCCCACTCAGACACAGTATACTGACTCCGAGCCGACCAGTCCTTGTTTAAGCCCCTTAATGCCGAGCGCCAGACAGGGTAACAACAAGCACCATCTTTTTAAGTCTTTTGGTATGACGCGGCCGGGGATCGAATGGGACTTTTTGAGACATCTCCTGAGACCTACAGTAGGTACCCGGGTAGGGTCGGGTAATAGGTGGTGGGTACCCGCGTAGTAAATTTGGACTCGTCCCAGCCCTAATCCTTATCGACATTAATAATTACTTAAAGTCTAAATGTAGAACCGTTTCCGTTGTCTTGTGGTAGAGCGTCCGCCCGGAGAGCGGAAGGTCTTGAGTTCGATCTCCGGTCGCGTCATACCAAAAGACGTTGAATATTGCTGAGTGCGGCGTAAACAACAAAACAAACAACGTTGAAACATGGTTCTTGTTGTTACCCTGCCTGGCGCTCGGCATTATTAGGTAAAGGGCTAAAACAAAGACTGCATGGTCGGCTCGAGAGTCTGAGAGGGCGTATTCATGTTAAATTCATGCGGCATATCATGTGGGCAAGCACTATAAAATCGGCATCAATCCGAACTAGTACAAGCAGACACACAGATACGTGCAAGCACGTCGCTTTTGAAGTGCAATAATCTTGGACGCGACATAAGCCCCATTTCACCTCACCTCACCTTCAAATGTAATTAATGCTGTCTTGATGGATTTGAAAAAATATATATGTTTCACTGAACTGCGACGTCTAAGTGCCAAACATATGCACGCGCATGCATATCAATATCATAATCAGATCACACCTTTGAACAGCAGCTGGCGAAAGCGCGCTGTGGGAAGGGGGGTAACTCTAGCCTAGAACTATGGCCGCTGTTTCGCGAGGCTCCGTGGTTGTGGCGACGGCAATCCGTGATTTAGCTGCGTCGGTGAGAAGCTTATTACCAGATGTTGATGTTAATGTCATACAATTAGACAAAGCAGGTATGTTGAAACGTGTTTTATTCATGTTTGTTTTGCGATGACATAATAATAACGATACATAGGGAATACATGCATATAACATTATCAGCTGATTTGGACCATGGTGAGTTGTGTTGACATCAAAGGGCAAGGAAAGTATGCGGCGAGACGGAGAATGAGTTGTCTCATTTCGTAAGGTGTGGGACGAGTCCATATTGACCACCGGGTACCCACCCCACTATTACCCGACCCTAGCCGGGTACCCGCTGTAGGTCTCAAGTGATAGGTACAACATGCCCGATTGGGAATAGTTTGACCGTAGCGCTGGAAAAAACGTATTTAGATGTACAGGTATTAAAACGATCTGCTCATGCAAACACAGAAGTTGACTGAAGTTTTATCTTTATTCAAAAATATAAAAGTCATAAAGAAATGCGAACATTAGTGACATGTTGCGTAATTGGGCTGGGACGGGGCATTCGGGTACTGGATTTGGGTGGGTCCTGAGTCGGACCCGGGTACCCACAGGACTACCCTGACCAGTGGTTAGTCACATGATATATTGTTTAATGACAAAAACTCACTGTAGCTCAGTGGTTACACTACATGTCGCTAATCTTCTCATTTCTTTCTGATGATGCACACATTCCTGTGGACTTTTATTTGTTTGCGTAAGGATAAAGGTTCAGTCAACTTCAGTGCATGCATGATCTGATTGATTGATATATGTATCTAAATAGTTTTGGCCAGGGCTGCGGTAAAACAATTCCCAATCAGACATTTTGTTCCCAACTCTTGAGACCTGCAGTTGGTACCCAGGTAGGTTTCGGGTAATAGGGGATTGGGTACCCGGGTAGTAAATTTGGACTCGTCCCAGCCCTATTGTGTAAACATGGTGTTCTGGATAATTTTAGTCATTAAACTATATTACCCTATTCGACGTAATAAGCAATGGGTTTTATTCATGTTTTGTAGAAACATTAATTAGAAATAGGGGCCTCTTATCAGAGTTGAAAGATAAATTTCGTGGTTTATAGTGACAGCCTGAAATGTTTATGTACAACAGATATATTTTTCCAGAATTTAATTGCTCATAATTAAGGGTGCATATAACACACGAGTGTGTATTATACGCGAATAAATAAATCTTGATCATTGATCAATCGGAAGGGGTGCTAATTGGGTTTGTTACACTAGCCAATATATCAGCAAATATCGCAGCTTATTAGAGCGGGGCGTTTATTACGTCGAATACGGTATGTGACTTACCACGGGTCCAGGTAGTCCTGTGGGTACTTCATATCTTACTCACTACCCACCCAACACGAGTACCCGTGTTTACTCTCCCAGCCCTTGTGTGGGTTCTAAACTATAAATGCATATATCCTACAGACCACTTATTGTTTTCATTGTTTTATTTTCTGTATCATTGTTGATTTTATACAAAAAAATCACAATGTCTTAAACAGTTATAAAGATATAGGCCTCATTGTCAGCAGGATGAATGTTAAATGGTTTAAAGGGACAGGACATCAATCTGAATTGTTTGATAGTACACAATTGATAGTAGACACAATATATGGATAACAACCTCTTTAATACTGTAAAGGTGACGTTGCGGGACAGATCCTTATACCATTGTCAAGCAAGAGTGAGTAGAATAGGTCTTCAGCAACCCATGCTTGCCGTAAAAGGTGACTATGCTTGTCGTAAGACATGACTAACGGGATCGGGTGGTCAGGCTCGCTGACTTGGTTGATGCATGTCATCAATCCCAATTACGTGGATTGATGCTCATGATATTAATCACTGGATTGTCTGGTCCAGACTTGATTATTTACAGACCGTCGTCATATAGCTGGAATATTGCTGAGTGTGCCGTTAAACAACAAACCAAAAAACTTGGCTCTGCTCGCCCCATCCGTTTCTGCTTCAGTGACGGGACCACACAGAGGGCGTAGGTTTATCACGTGACCAGACTTTTCTCTTGTTTATATTCGGAACAAACGCCCTCATTCTGAAGAAAGAACAGGGGGCCCAATGCATGCCTTTCGGTTTGCTTTACATATTGTTTTGAAGAATTATATAGATATACTACTACAACCGCGAGAGTGAGGTGCATGACAATATGACTTTACACATCAAAGTGACTGTATACTGCTAGCTCTCCGTACATCTTTGATGACCGGACATAGAGGATAAATACGCAATTGGAATTAGATTTTCATGTTTGGGATATTTTCTCAATGAAAGGTACAATTTTCATGACAAATGTTTATCTAAAGGTGTAAAATCGACCAAAAATGAAACAGATGCCTCAGGCAGTGGGATCAGTCACCATTCATACCATAGCATCCATCACTCATTGATCCATCCTTTTTCCATCAGTCACCATCCATACTGTAGCATCCATCACCCATTGATCCATCCTTTATTCCATCCTTTACCCATGCATCACCATCCATACTGTAGCATCCATCACCCATTGATCCATCCTTTATTCCATCCTTTACCCATCCATCACCTTCCATACTGTAGCATCCATCACTCATTGATCCATCCTTTACCCATCCATCACCCTCTATTCTGTAGCATCCATCACTCATTGATCCATCCTTTACCCATCCATCACCAGCCATTCTGTAGCATCCATCACTCATTGATCCATCCTTTACCCATCTATCACCAGCCATTCTGTAGCATCCATCACTCATTGATCCATCCTTTACCCATCCATCACCAGCCATTCTGTAGCATCCATCACTCATTGATCCATCCTTTACCCATCTATCACCAGCCATTCTGTAGCATCCATCACTCATTGATCCATCCTTTACCCATCTATCACCAGCCATACTGTGGCATATATCACCCATGGATCCATCCTTTATCCATCAGTCACCATCCATACTGTAGCATCCATCACCTATTGATCCATCCTTTATTCCATCCTTACCCATCCATCACCATCCATACTGTAGCATCCATCACTCATTGATCCATCCTTTACCCATCCATCACATCCATTCTGTAGCATCCATCACCCATTGATCCATCCTTTACCCATCCATCACATCCATTCTGTAGCATCCATCACCCATTGATCCATCCTTTACCCATCCATCACCATCCATTCTGTAGCATCCATCACTCATTGATCCATCCTTTACCCATCCATCACCAGCCATTCTGTAGCATCCATCACTCATTGATCCATCCTTTACCCATCTATCACCAGCCATTCTGTAGCATCCATCACTTATTGATCCATCCTTTACCCATCCATCACCAGCCATTCTGTAGCATCCATCACTCATTGATCCATCCTTTACCCATCTATCACCAGCCATACTATGGCATATATCACCCATGGATCCATCCTTTTTCCATCAGTCACCATCCATACTGTAGCATCCATCACCCATTGATCCATCCTTTACCCATCCATCACCATCCATACTGTAGCATCCATCACGCATTGATCCATCCTTTACCCATCTATCACCAGCCATTCTGTAGCATCCATCACTCATTGATCCATCCTTTACCCATCTATCACCGTCCATACTGTAGCATCCATCACTCATTGATCCATCCTTTACCCATCCATCACATCAATTCTGTAGCATCCATCACCCATTGATCCATCCTTTACCCATCCATCACATCCATTCTGTAGCATCCATCACCCATTGATCCATCCTTTACCCATCCATCACCATCCATTCTGTAGCATCCATCACTCATTGATCCATCCTTTACCCATCCATCACCATCCATTCTGTAGCATCCATCACTCATTGATCCATCCTTTACCCATCTATCACCAGCCATTCTGTAGCATCCATCACTCATTGATCCATCCTTTACCCATCCATCACCAGCCATTCTGTAGCATCCATCACTCATTGATCCATCCTTTACCCATCTATCACCAGCCATACTATGGCATATATCACCCATTGATCCATCCTTTACCCATCCATCACCATCCATACTGTAGCATCCATCACGCATTGATCCATCCTTTATTCCATCCTTTACCCATGCGTCACCATCCATACTGTAGCATCCATCACCCATTGATCCATCCTTTACCCATCCATCACCATCCATACTGTAGCATCCATCACCCATGGATCCATCCTTTATTCCATCCTTTACCCATGCGTCACCATCCATACTGTAGCATCCATCACCCATTGATCCATCCTTTATTCCATCCTTTACCCATCCATCACCGTCCATACTGTAGCATCCATCACCCATTTATCATCCATGCATCTGTGTGATCTCCAGGCTTGGTGCCAGCGAGCAGCCTGTGTCAAGTCAGTGGAGTGGTCCTCTGTGACCCAAAGGTGGTGGTGCAACTAATTGGCCAGAGTGATCTCCCCTTGAAATGGGTTCAGTCAACATGGGCAGGTTAGTAATTGTTTATTGGATTCCTGAGAGTTAAATCTTTCTTCTACTTATTGCCAATGGGAAGAAATCAAGAATAGACTGTCCCATGTACTGGTTCTGATTTAGCTGAAAAGATTTTTGAGCATAGTCTGTTTCATTGTATATGTCAGTACAAGAGCCAGCCAACATTTAGTTCTCTGTTGATCTTTATAATTTGGTTTGTAAAACGACCTTTTGCCAACTTTGACCGACCAATGAAATAACAAGAAGACAACATTAGCCAATCAGAAAGCAGCATTCTAGAGCTATTAGAAACTAGTTTCAAACTGGCGACTTCTATTCCAGATTATGATATTAAAAATATTTTGACAAAGTTCTTGATACAAAATTTAAAAACTGAACAAAAGAACATTCTGGAATGTCTAATTGATGGCTGAGATTTTACGGCAGTACTTCCCACTGGCTATACAGTCTCCTCCGAGAGATAGACAATGATTTGGACGGAATCAGTCGTATAGCCCGTAACTGTCATTTGGAATACCCCTGACCCCTGTCAACCTTATCGAGGTTGCATGATTGGAAAACTCATTCAGACAGTCACTTTCCCAATCTGGTAAGCACCAATCTGATTGGTCGTTCTGACATGACCCTTAATGGAATGTCCTCAGATCTTTGTTTTGTGGTAACAAAGACTATGATTTGCTTTTTGTGATTTGTGATTTGTGAAGTGCCTGTCTTTGGTGACATTTTAGACAAGTGACTTCATATGCAGGGATATGCTGTAGCATTTCTTTATATTTTGAGTCCTCATAAGTAAGATAAGAACCATGAAGTGTAAAACTATGTCCCCCTTAGCTTGTCTGCATTTCTTGAATATTTTAAATCTTGAAATTAACATGAGCGTGAATTAAATGCGAAAAATGTAAGTGGTGTCGCTTTAAATAAACTTCGCATTTATGTTTCCAAAGTGACTATCAACAATAAGATGGCCTAACTGCACACTATGGATAGCGGAAATACCAGCTTGAATTGGACACCAACAACTACCGGGGTATATATTTCATGTCACGGTTTAATGAGCATTAGTTGTATACACACAAATGTCATTCAAAGACTAGAAACTACACAATGGGCATCCGGTGAGTTATCACTGCTTGGGTCAAGAGTTCTACTCACTCGTGTCAAACTCGGCATCATTGGGTTCTCCAGCAGTCCAGATAGACGCCACCCACGCAACACTATGCCAACAGGACCCAACGCGCTCCGATAGGCTTCATCACACTTATCCTCAGATCACATTAACATTTTTGGCTAGGGGTCAGCAGTCGTATTAACTTGGAGAAGCATTTTTCATGATTTCAAGTATATATATATTAAAAAATTCACATTTGTTAAATTAATTTCAGGGGTGGAGTCCATCATGTCGGCTGTACAGGAGAGTAAGGTACACATGTTTTTGTTTACATAAGTGAGTGAGTTAAAATTTAACGTCGCATCGGCATTATCGCATCCATATAGCGACAGTGGGTATAGTGTTACCCCTCACATGCTGTACCCAAGTGGGGAATCGAAACCCGGGTCTTCTGCTACCCTTCCAGACCCGTTTTTGTTTAGAATCAAGGAACTTTTAAACATTTGTTAAATTTAATAATTCAATTCTTTTTTAATACATCATTGTATTTCAACACAAAAACTAATGAGATGGAACATTCATCAAATACTGTTTTGGAATAAGAAAGAAGATGATCATCAATGGAAGGAGTATGGATAAAACACAAGTTGATAACAAATGTATTTTGCCATTATTAACAGACCATAACAGATCAAAATATATGCATTTGTGTTTTGGAGAATAACAGCTCCAGATAAGCTGGGTATTTGTGTAAAATATGCAAAATAAATCGATATTACCCAATTAATTTTGACTTGCTTGCGTACAAATAGGCATGAAAAATGTCAAAACCCAAATAGTATAACATATTACACGCTGCCTGTAAGTACCCAATGTATCTTTTTCAGCTTGCATACCAGTATTTCTTCACAGACCTTTATTTATAAATCAAATGGAGGCATCACACACATGAACTCTACTGCAGTGTATAAATGCATAAAAAGTCGCTATGTCTTGCATATTGTTTATTAGGTATTCTATCTTTTTCAACTAGCATAGCTTTATTTCTTTATAGATCTTATTTTATATTGATCGAATGCAGGCATCACGCCTACATGAACACTACAGCAGTGAATAGTGCATAAAAGGGATCTGGGTCTCGCTTATTATTCTCACCACAAAGTGAGATAGGGTATATACAGAAAGGGAATTCATCCGTTCTCTTTTTTGTTCGTTCGCTTCTCCGTTTGATTTTTTGTCCTTTAGCTAAGGATGTGATCTGTGGGATGACTCCATGCCCTGCTACATACTCCCCCTTCAACAGAAGGCAGATCCCGGGCCACATAATTGGCTACTGAGGCTTATTTTGCTCAAATTTAATATGAACGTGCTCAGCCCCACGATGGGCGCCAATGTAGTGGCCATAAAATTTCCGAGTACCGTAATGGGATTTGAACCACGGACCTTCTGATCCGAGGTCGGACGCCTTGTCCACATGATCAAAGAGGTTAACCCCGTCAGCAAGCTGACAAATGTCTACTTGTTGGGGTAAAAATACCCATTAGACCTGACCCAAGGGAATACAAATATATTTTGAATACCCATCGTGAATGATAACTTGTGAAGAAAATGCTCAATAGCTCAAGAAACTATCTGGAACCCAGAAGAATATTATAATGGTTCATATCCATCAGATCGGACATTTTACTTGGTTTGATACTCCTCTCCATCAAGCTATCAAATCAGAGTAAAATATCTGATTTTAATGATAATAATATTTCTAATGTAATTTGGACTGCTTCAGTGGTCTAGTGGTAGAGCATCCGCCCGGAGTTCGATCCCTGGCCGCGTCATTCCGAAAGACGTTAAAATATGGTACTTGTTGCTACCCTGTCTGGTGTTCAGCATTAAGGTGCTAAAACAAGGACTGGTCGGCTTGGAGTCAGCATACTATGTCTGAGTGGGGTATTCATGTTAAACTGCGGCATGGTATCTCAGTGAGCTAGCACTATAAATCGGCATCAGTCTGAACAAGTTCAAGCAGCCACACAAACACACACGTACATGCACGTCGCTACATAAGTGCAATAATTTTGGACGTGACGTTAAACCCCATTTCACACCACCTCAAATGTCATTTCAGATGCAGCCGACCTTCACCTTTACCCGAACTGGAGAAGGGTATGGCCAGGTTATTGGGGAGTATGTCATCGGACATGTCATAGCTCATGAAAGAAAATTCAAACAAATGTTCAAAACCAACGAATCAAGAATTTGGGATGCGTGAGTATTACGATCAGACAAAGAAGATATAAGATTCCTTCCCTATCTTTCCTGTTAAGATTCAAGGGCAGAGTACGACCCCAGTACCCTACATTTGATCTTGGTTCAAATGACTCACAGCTACAATAGCTGGACCCTCCAACGAAATTACATTGTACGTCCTGAATAGAATGAGCTGTGATGTCATCAATACTTTATTTGCTTCGTTGCATACTGTGTCAAATACAATATGAACTCTTGCAGCTTATAGCAGGAGGACTTCTCCCCCTGTCATATTACACATGAGAACTCTTGAAGTAAAAGACTTCAGGTTCCATTAGGCTAAAAAAATAACAGTCTTGGTTCACAGGCACAGCCTGCATCATCATAAAGTTTGCTGCACGTTTCGTTTTTATTTCCACTTTTTTTAGAAACCAAAAAATTCTTCGATTCAAATACTGTATTCTAGTACAGTAAACTATGTTTGTTACGAACACGCTTATAACGGCCTGCCTGATTTAACAAACTTATTTTTTAGTCCCGGACATTTGTTGTATATATTCTGTACACCTGCTAATAACGAACTACGGTTATTACGAACTAAACTTTGTGGTCGCTTTGAGTTCGTTATATCCGTATTTTACTGTATTATATTCATCAAGGAATACATTTATGTAAGCAGGCCCTTTTCTAGGGTGATTGTACACAATTTTTTATTTGGTTACACAACTGTTTATTATTGGTTACGTACCAGGTAAAAAAAAAAAGACACCACCCACCCGCACTATATTTTCAAAAAACATTGCCTGAGAACCAATTGTTTAATTTTTTTAAGCCTTAGCTATATATTCCAAATATTTTAGAGCTTTGCCACATTCATAAGCAGGGCTCGATTTAGGGAAGTTGAGTTACCTTGCACCAGGTCCATGTTGACAAAACCAGGTTGCGCTTGGTCCCATAAAGTTATCAAAGATGAAACAGAGATTCATATCTACTCTACATAAATACAATCTCATTTTTCTGATTACCTCTATCATTATTTTATAAAAATCATTAATTTACATAAATTAGTAAAAGGCGACTTTGCTTGTCGTAAGAGGCAACTAACGGGATCGGGTGGTCCGGCTCGCTGACTTGGTTGAAGCATGTCATCGATCCCAATTGCATGGATTGATGCTCATGCTGTCAATCACTGGATTGTCAGGTCCATATTGATTATTTACAAACAAACAAACATGAATTAATGATGCTGTGTCGTAAGACAGAATAGGACATCAGTCCCTGATAAGAGTATGGTTTGAATGGTTTCTGATCTCAGCCTCGAAATTTGTGCCAAATCAGTGACAAGAGGTTTTAATTCCACAAGCCCGAACTTGGATATCAGCATCATTTTCAGTATATTGGTGATCAGACTGGTGACTTGCCTGACTGCCATATGTCATACATATAGAAGCTCAGGTCCATCTGTTTCCCTTCCCATTTGTGTCGTTATGTTTTCATATTTCCTTTTTTGAAGGAAGGTTTATTTTCTTTCACAGAAATTACAAGTATATCCGTTCTTTGTCAACTTTAACCATTGGGGTGCTTGGGCTGGGACAGATTGGTACAGAAAGTATGTACGCATGTATACACAATAACTTGTAGCCGGTACACGAGGGGTACATGGGGTTTTATGCATCCCACGTCAGATTTTGGTGAGTGGTATAAAAACTAACGAGGGAAGCATAAAACCCCATGTACCCCGAGTGATCCTGCTACAACAAATTTATCCTACCAATATGTTTTAATATGACATTGTAAATGAATAAAACAAATTCAAAACTGATAGAAAACAGCTGTCCAATTGAGCTGATGTTAACATGTGTTATGTCGCGTGTTTCCATTGACTCTGAAAAAGCTTCCAGTTTTTTGCTTTGAAATGGGTAAAAGGGATTTATTCTGCCTCTCAGAAATCCGCATGCAGCCTGACTTGCTCATGGAGGGGTATATGTGATTTATTCCCCCGCTGAGGAATTTATTGCATTTTCATTGCATGCATTTTCCTGATACGTTATTTTGAAATGTAGATCAGACACATGTTTTAGGGATGTGGTGTTATGGTACCAGTGATGTGTGTTGGGTGTGGTGGTTGTGATATGTGGTGGGGTTGGAAGGGGTTATGTGTGGTGGTGGATGTGATGGTGGTTGTGATGGTGGTTGTGGTGATATGTGGTAGGGTTGGAAGGGGTTATGTGTGGTGGTGGATGTGATGGTGGTTGTGGTGATATTTGCTGGGGTTGAAAGGGGTTATGTGTGGTGGTGGATGTGATGGTGGTTGTACTGATATGTGGTGGGGTTGAAAGGAGTTGTGTGGTGGTGGATGTGATGGTGGATGTGGTGATATGTGGTGGGGTTGGAAGGGGTAATGTGTGGTGGTGGATGTGATGGTGGTTGTGGTGATATGTGGTAGGGTTGGAAGGGGTTATGTGTGGTGGTGGATGTGATGGTGGTTGTGGTGATATGTGGTGGGGTTGAAAGGGGTTATGTGTGGTGGTGGATGTGGTGGGGTTGGAAGGGGTTATGTGTGGTGGTGGATGTGATGGTGGTTGTAGTGATATGTGGTAGGGTTGAAAGGAGTTGTGTGGTGGTGGATGTGATGGTGGTTGTGGTGATTTGTGGTGGGGTTGGAAGGGGTTATGTGTGGTGGTGGTTGTGGTGATATGTGGTGGGGTGAAGGGGGAAGTGATGGAGGGTACGGAAGGAGATAATGGTGCTGTATGTTGTTGGTAGTGGTACTATTCAGTGTTGGTTGGGGTGGTAACAGCAGTTGTGAATTGATGGTGGGCTTGGCTTTAGGTTATGTTCAAATTGACATGCATAAAATTCTGTCACCAATTTTGTGCAGGAGTGTAAGGCTAGACGTCCTCAAAACCCACACTGACCCCACATACCCAACCCAAAAAACCCACCCCCACATACCCACTCCCACATACCCACTCCCACATACCCACATCCACATACCCACCCCCACATACCCTCCCCCACATACCCACCCCCACAAATCCACCCCCACATACCCACCCCCACATACCCATCCCCATAAACCCATCCCCACATACCCACCCCCACATACCCACCCCTACATACCCACCCCCACATACCCACCCCCACATACCCACATCCACATCCCCATACCCAGCCCCACATACCCACCCTCACATACCCGTCTAATTATTTGCGGTATGGACTTGAGTTATTAAAAATAGAATGGAATTACCCAGAAGTGGTATTTCCGAAACCTAACCCATCAGATGTCTCCGTTTGTTGGAACCTCCAAACATTATTGTTGCTGACACAGTTTGATGTGTCTGCTTTTGTCTCTTCATTATATAATAGAACAATTATAGATTTTATATGAGGTCACTAACTGTTTCTATGAAACCCCCACAAGTAGTATCTACTTGACACTTAATGGTGTCATGCAACCTCCAGAAAGGTAGGCCTAGCTGCCATGTATCGGAGTTTGACATGTTCTTGCCAACATTTCTTTACAGTTACCCGAATGTGCAAAGCCATGGGGATGACAGTATGGGGGCTGGCAACAGGGCAACAGAAATCTGATCATCCGTATGTCGATGAATTCAGGTATGTGGTCATACGAAAATGTTTATTATGTTTATGTGGTTGATGTTTATTCTGTAGCCCATTGTTCTTACATACATAGGCATCAGTTCTGTGGCAGGACTCTAATCCGTAAACTATTGCCCATTGTTCTTACATATGTAGGACTCCGATCTATGGTGGGACTCTAATCCGTAAACTATGACCCATTGTTCTTACATATGTAGGACTGAGATCTATGGCGGGACTCTAATCCGTAAACTATGACCCATTGTTCTTACATATGTAGGACTGAGATCTATGGCGGGACTCTAATCCATAAACTATGGCCTATTGTTCTTACATATGTAGGACTCAGATCTGTGGCGGGACTCTAATCCGTAAACTATGACCCATTGTTCTTACTTATGTAGGACTCCGATCTATGGCGGGACTCTAATCCGTAAACTATGGCCCATTGTTCTTACATATGTAGGACTCCGATCTATGGCGGGACTCTAATCCGTAAACTATGACCCATTGTTCTTACATATGTAGGACTCCGATCTATGGCGGGACTCTAATCCGTAAACTATGGCCCATTGTTCTTACATATGTAGGACTGAGATCTGTGGCGGGACTCTAATCCGTAAACTATGACCCATTGTTCTTACATATGTAGGACTCCGATCTATGGCGGGACTCTAATCCGTAAACTATGGCCCATTGTTCTTACATATGTAGGACTCCGATCTATGGCGGGACTCTAATCCGTAAACTATGGCCCATTGTTCTTACATATGTAGGACACCGATCTATGGCGGGACTCTAATCCGTAAACTATGGCCCATTGTTCTTACATATGTAGGACTGAGATCTATGGCGGGACTCTAATCCGTAAACTATGACCCATTGTTCTTACATATGTAGGACTCAGATCTGTGGCGGGACTCTAATCCGTAAACTATGGCCTATTGTTCTTACATACTGTAAATCTTGAAATTAACGCGAGTGTGAATTAAATGCGAAAAATGCAAGTGGTCTTGGCTCGCATTTTTAAACATAGCATTTATATCAACAATAAGACATTTTGGATAGCAGAAATACCAACCTAGACATATGCTGAAAACAAACAACTATGTATTCCACATCACTGTTTATTGAGCAGCACTTGTAACAAGTATATAAACAACGTCATTCAAACACTAATTACATCCTGTGAATTGTCACTGCTGGGGTCAAGACAACAGTTCTACTCACTTGTGTCATCACTGATCACACCTGCAAGTCCAGACAGATGCCACCCACGCAACACAGTGTCTTTGTTCTTTGCGACTGCATCAAAGGCCAACACGAGCCTGTTCTTACGTATGTAGGACTGAGATCTGAATCAAACGAGTGAATTCAGTGGTCCTTAACTTCTTTTTCAATGTATATATCATGTGCAGTAGAATCTGTGTAATCTATCGCCGGGGGGGGGACTTATGCTAATTAGCAGTCCAAACAAACTTGATTTAAATCCCTCAAATACTGGTTTGTCCGTCTACTTGTTGAGGTTTAATGAAGAATTGACTTCAATATTTTTAGGTATTAATGTAATAAAGTGGTGTTAACACAGTTTTTGATGTTTATGCCTCCATTAATGCAAAAGATATTAAAGATAATTCTTATAAATAAATAGGTAAACAATAATAACTTCATCACAGTCTGTTTTATTCAGTAACACAGAAAGACTGTAGATGAGGGTGTCCTTGTACCCTAATGGTGTGGATAATTGCTCATCAAATCAATCACTGGTTTACTGACTTTAGAATGTGTTCCATCTCCAGGTGTAACAATGACCTCTGTGACCTGCTTTCTAACTGTGACTACATCTGCAACATCCTTCCGAGCACTCCACTCACCCGGAATCTTCTGTCTGGGGAGGTCCTTGCTAGTTGTGCAAAGAGGGTAGGCCATGCTATTAATGTTGCCCTACTCCTAGAACCTTCTGTCTGGGGAGGTGCTTGCTAGTTGTGCACAGAGGGTAGGCCTTGCTATTAATGTTCCCCACACCCAGAACCTTCTGTCTGGGGAGGTCCTTGCTAGTTGTGCAAAGAGAGTAGGCCATGCTATTAATATTCCCCACACCCAGAACCTTCTGTCTGGGGAGGTGCTTGCTACTTGTGCAAAGAGGGTAGGCCATGCTATTAATATTCCCCACACCCAGAACCTTCTGTCTAGGGAGGTCCTTGCTAGTTGTGCAAATAGGATAGGCCTTGCTTTTAATGTTGCCCCACTCCCAGAACCTTCTGTCTAGGGAGGTGCTTGCTAGTTGTGCAAATAGGATAGGCCTTGCTTTTAATGTTGCCCCACACCCAGAACCTTCTGTCTGGGGAGGTCCTTGCTAGTTGTGCAAAGAGAGTAGGCCATGCTATAAATGTTGCCCTACTCCCAGAACCTTCTGTCTAGGGAGGTGCTTGCTAGTTGTGCAAATAGGATAGGCCTTGCTATAAATGTTGCCCCACACCGAGAACCTTCTGTCTGGGGAGGTCCTTGCTAGTTGTGCAAAGAGGGTAGGCCTTGCTATAAATGTTGCCCTACTCCCGGAACCTTCTGTCTAGGGAGGTGCTTGCTAGTTGTGCAAAGAGGATATGCCTTGCTTTTAATGTTGCCCCACACCCAGAAACTTCTGTCTGGGGAGGTCCTTGCTAGTTGTGCAAATAGGATAGGCCTTGCTTTTAATGTTGCCCCACACCTAGAAACTTCTGTCTGGAGAGGTGCTTGCTAGTTGTGCAAAGAGGATAGGCCTTGCTTTTAATGTTGCCCCACAATTAGAAACTTCTGTCTGGGGAGGTGCTTGCTAGTTGTTCACAGAGGGTAGGCCATGCTGTTTATGTTGCCCCACACCCAGAACCTTCTGTCTGGGAGGTCCTTGCTTCTTGTACGGAAAGGTTTGGCCTTGCTTAATGCTGCCAGAGAAAGAATGTGTTAAATGGTCAAAGAAAATGCAACCAAGCAGTTGTTCAAATTGCACAAAATTTGCAAGAAGTATGACATATTCGATGCAGTAAAAGTTTATCACTGATTCCATTTGGTGTTTGTGTGTCACAATAACTTTTACCTTTGAGTATATCATTCACACAGATAATTATCTCACTTTGTCGCAGAAAAGTGTCCTCATCAACGTGGGTCGTGGTGATATCATTGATGAAGATAGTGTCATCAATGCTGTGAACCAAGGCTGGATTGGCGGAGCAATACTTGACGTGTTTGCCAAAGAACCTCTTCCAGAAAGTAGTCGACTGTGGACTTTGCCGAATGTAACAGTTTCCCCTCATGTCTCTGGTCCAAGTCAGCCCTCACAGGTATGGATGATCCCATGCAGGTCTGGGTTAGAATTGGTCTTCAGCAACTCATGCTTGTCTTTAGAGGCGACTGGGGATTGGGTGGTCAGACTCAGTGACTTGATTGATGCATGTCATCATATCCCAAATGCTTGGATTGATGCTCATGAATGCACTCACTGGGTTGTCTGATCCAGACCTGGTTATTTAGAGTCCGCTGTCATATGGCTGGGATATTCCTGAGTCTGGCGTTAAACAACAAACACAGGTATGGTAGAGCGTTATGTGACAGATACAATGTGTTCCCCAGCTTGATTCCATGTGCCACTTCTGCCAGCATTGCAGGAACTAATATTTGATGAAAATATTTGCCCGGGATAACTACCTGACTGCCGGCCCGTGGTTGGTAACTTTTCTGTCGGGCTTCAGGAAATTATCCTCCACCTGTCCACTGTCTGGCAGATAATGTTAGCCTATTTACATATTCAGTTTTGTTATAACTCCTTGTAGATTCTTAATTAAAACACATATGTGACGTCATTCTATTGTTTGAACGCTCCATTATTTTTCAGGAATGGAGAGTTGCTTGTCAACTGTACATTATCTTGAAGCAGCATTTGAATTTTTCAAATATTTTCAACTACAGAATATTTTGTCAGAGTGTAAAAGTAGGGATGAGTTTTAAGTAGGGTAAGCCTCAACCCCTGCGGGGCCTCTCCTCCATTATTTTTAAGGAATGGAGAGTTACTCGGACATTCCCCTTTACGTAATTATTTTTGCATTATTACTACTGAATCAAGACGTGGCTTTTGATTTTATATTGTCTGCTATGCTAGTCCCACTGCGTATGTTGGAAGTGAGGCTGCTGGGAAAATCTAATGTTGTGAGTCGTGTTGTGGTCTTCAGCAACCCATACTTGCCGTAAAAGGCGACTATGCTCATCGTAAAAGGCGACTAACGGGATCGGATGCTTGGATCGATGCTCATGATATCAATCACTGTATTGTCTGGCCCAGACTCGATTATTTACAGACCGCCATCATATAGCTGGAATATTGCTGAGTTTGGCGTTTAACAACAAACATGTTGTGAGAAAGTGTGTTAGCATTGCTGCTGTGACAGGTTGTCCTTATGTGAGTGTATGTGAATCTAAAGAAGAATAAAGAAGCAAAGTGTCTACTGCGGTTGATTTGGTTATTTAGACTGGCATTAGCAATGGCTTCTCATACTTTTGCTGTTTTTCAATATTTATGAGGGGGCACGTTGGCCCAGTCGTCTAAGGCGCTGCGATTCGCTGTGCAGAGTTGCGTCCCTTGGGCACGCCAGAAACCTTTCATTGTGGGTTCAAATCCCGGTTCGCCCTGATTATATTTCTAGGTTTGTCAGCACCATACCCGTGCTTGTGGGTTTCTCTGAAGTGGTAAATGTCTGACACCTGCCTCACTTTTTTTGTATTTGTTCCAAAAAATCCTTAAAAGATCAGAGTAATGTCAAAGTCACTGCCATAACCATGGTAACATGGATATTGTGTAAGCTGGCTGCGATTGGCTACGATTGGGCTATTTCAATACCTGCATGCAAGGCAGTAATACAACTTTTGATTTATCATGTCTCTAGTTACCCAGAGGGCATCAGACTGGAACCTAGCCTCCTTCCACACTCCTCCAATATATATGTTACTTACCCTTGTTCTTTTTCAGGTTGCGGAGGGATTTGGGAACAACTATCGACTATTTTGTGAGGGAAGTCCTCTAAAATTCCAGGTCGATTGGAAAAAAGGATATTGATTGATGTTTATGAAGAGCTTACACCAACGAAGAAATGTCTCACTCACTAATTTACTTCACATTGTATCCTGATTATATTCAGGCCAACCAATGAAAAAATGAGACTGCAATAAAAATTGTGTCTACAATGCACGATGAAATGGCAGCGTAAAACAATCACCGCAAATCTGAGAGCATGCTGCCAAAAACATGGAAATCGCAGCACTAAAGCAAACCGACCACAATGTTCCAAACTTCTGGTAAGCTGGAATAAGTTGAATTGTGACCTGACAATTAACCTTGTATGACTATGTATGAGGTCAGGCCACTGGTGCGTACCAGTTTGAAGAAAGGGGTAGTGGGTGGTCCGCGATTAGTGGGACGATGGATATGTGCGTGTCCTGTTCTAGTGTTCGAGTTCTAGTGGCGAGTTTAAAAGGACATGATGGTACTGCTGATGTGAGGCACCATGGGAGCATAGTCAAATTCATCATCATGACCTGCACATGCACAACATTTGTGCACCCTCTCTACTTGTAAAAAAACAAATTCTGTGCACCGCCTACTTGTCAGAAACGCGCTTTGTGAGTTGGTTCAACTTGTTGTGGCTTACCAGTAGTCATGCACAGAAGAGAGAGATTTTCCGTCATGTCACAAGGATCAACAAACAGTGAGTGAGTGAGTGAGTTGGGTTTAACGCCGCTTTTAACAGTATTCCAGTTATATCACGGCGTGCCAGCTTAATGTGGGAGGAAAGCCCAAAGTGATGCAGGTCTAAGACGTTTACCACTTCGGTGAAACCCACGAGCACGGGTATGGTGCTGACAAACCTAGAAACATAATCGGGGCGAACCGGGATTCGAACCCACAATCATAGGTTTCTGGCGTGCCCAAGGGACGCAACTCTGCACAGCGAATCGCGGCGCCTTAGTTGACTGGGCCACCCGTGCCCCCTCAACAAACAGTGAGAATTTACATCTCACAGCACTAATACAATAATACACATCTAGAATATTCTATCAGCACTGTATGACAGTTTGGTAGGTTATGGTCTTTTTGTTTTAGTGGCCTGTGTATTGAGCCTGATTTTATCCTGGGTGTATTGAGCCTGATTTTATCCTGGGTGTATTGAGCCTGATTTTATCCTGGGTGTATTGAGCCTGATTTTATCCTGGGTGTATTGAGCCTGATTTTATCCTGGGTGTATTGAGCCTGATTTTATCCTGGGTGTATTGAGCCTGATTTTATCCTGGGTGTATTGAGCCTGATTTTATCCTGGGTGTATTGAGCCTGAGTTTATCCTGAGTGTATTGAGCCTGAGTTTATCCTGGGTGTATTGAGCCTGATTTTATCCTGGGTGTATTGAGCCTGAGTTTATCCTGGGTGTATTGAGCCTGAGTTTATCCTGGGTGTATTGAGCCTGATTTTATCCTGGGTGTATTGAGCCTGATTTTATCCTGGGTGTATTGAGCCTGAGTTTATCCTGGGTGTATTGAGCCTGAGTTTATCCTGGGTGTATTGAGCCTGAGTTTATCCTGGGTGTATTGAGCCTGAGTTTATCCTGGGTGTATTGAGCCTGAGTTTATCCTGGGTGTATTGAGCCTGATTTTATCCTGGGTGTATTGAGCCTGATTTTATCCTGGGTGTATTGAGCCTGATTTTATCCTGGGTGTATTGAGCCTGATTTTATCCTGGGTGTATTGAGCCTGATTTTATCCTGGGTGTATTGAGCCTGATTTTATCCTGGGTGTATTGAGCCTGAGTTTATCCTGGGTGTATTGAGCCTGAGTTTATCCTGAGTGTATTGAGCCTGAGTTTATCCTGGGTGTATTGAGCCTGATTTTATCCTGGGTGTATTGAGCCTGAGTTTATCCTGGGTGTATTGAGCCTGAGTTTATCCTGGGTGTATTGAGCCTGATTTTATCCTGGGTGTATTGAGCCTGATTTTATCCTGGGTGTATTGAGCCTGAGTTTATCCTGGGTGTATTGAGCCTGAGTTTATCCTGGGTGTATTGAGCCTGAGTTTATCCTGGGTGTATTGAGCCTGAGTTTATCCTGGGTGTATTGAGCCTGAGTTTATCCTGGGTGTATTGAGCCTGATTTTATCCTGGGTGTATTGAGCCTGATTTTATCCTGGGTGTATTGAGCCTGATTTTATCCTGGGTGTATTGAGCCTGATTTTATCCTGGGTGTATTGAGCCTGATTTTATCCTGGGTGTATTGAGCCTGAGTTTATCCTGGGTGTATTGAGCCTGATTTTATCCTGGGTGTATTGAGCCTGAGTTTATCCTGGGTGTATTGAGCCTGATTTTATCCTGGGTGTATTGAGCCTGAGTTTATCCTGGGTGTATTGAGCCTGAGTTTATCCTGGGTGTATTGAGCCTGATTTTATCCTGGGTGTATTGAGCCTGATTTTATCCTGGGTGTATTGAGCCTGATTTTATCCTGGGTGTATTGAGCCTGATTTTATCCTGGGTGTATTGAGCCTGATTTTATCCTGGGTGTATTGAGCCTGAGTTTATCCTGGGTGTATTGAGCCTGAGTTTATCCTGGGTGTATTGAGCCTGAGTTTATCCTGGGTGTATTGAGCCTGAGTTTATCCTGGGTGTATTGAGCCTGAGTTTATCCTGGGTGTATTGAGCCTGATTTTATCCTGGGTGTATTGAGCCTGATTTTATCCTGGGTGTATTGAGCCTGATTTTATCCTGGGTGTATTGAGCCTGATTTTATCCTGGGTGTATTGAGCCTGAGTTTATCCTGGGTGTATTGAGCCTGAGTTTATCCTGGGTGTATTGAGCCTGATTTTATCCTGGGTGTATTGAGCCTGATTTTATCCTGGGTGTATTGAGCCTGATTTTACCCTGAGTGATATGAACCTGATTTACATGTGTTAAGTTTCTTATTGACATACATACATATAAATATATTTATATGTAACTAATAAAATGATACCATATTGGACTGATGTGTGTGTTTGTGATTTGTGGCAATTTTGTTTGGCTGAAAAGTTCTGAGCCTAACTATGATGGACTGCGTTGATGGAGGTGGTTGTTAATTATTTGTCAACATAATCCCCTCCAAGGTCCACACACCTCTGTCAACGATGCTGGAGTATCTGGCCGCCTCCTGGTGGTTTAGAAAGTCCAGCACAGCAGAAATGACATCATTTGGGTAATACTTGGCAGACAGTTCTTTCTGAATGTTTGGGAAGAGGTGGAATCTGATGGTGGTGAATATGGACAATGTTTTCTGTGACAAACTGTTATATACACAAAATACACAAGACAATATGGCCTGTCGTGAGCTATCGGTCTTGTACCGTGGCGCTGTTAAAGATTACTCACAGATTGGTCTAGAAGTTGGTTGGGCGCTTATTGGAGCAGGGTCGACTGTGACACCTCGAGCTGAAACCATCATGATTCCAGCAATGGTGCCACCAAACTGCATGGAGACCCAATTATAAACAGGGCCGAGACACAGCCTATAGAAACTGTTATTTTGGTTTCATACTCTGTAATAAAATAAATATAATAAAAACCCAACTTAGTGATAAAATTCATACGCGGTAAATATAATCATCAAATATGATGCAACATTGATTTTTAACATATTTCCCCATGTCCGAATCCTAGATTTGCTCCGATTATGTTGCGAGGTTTGTTAGCATCGCCTGAGTAAGTCTGATACCTGCATCAATTCGGGCTTTCCTCCCACATTAAGCTGATTCGCCTGACATAACTGGAATATTATTGAAAGCGGCGTTACACGCAACTCACTCATTCCCCATGTCGGATCAAGCTCGGTTGCCCACAGCTTTCTGAATTCTAGAATTGATTGAAACGGCTGTAAAATATATCCACATCCACACATTCGGGCCCATTCGGGTAATTCCGTTACCCACATAATACTGTTTGCACTGACCCCAAGATTGAAGATGTTTGTTTGTTAAACGCCGCATTCAGCAATATTTCACCTATATGACGGCGGTCTGTAAATAATCGAGTCTGGACCAGACAACGCAGTGATTGTCATCATGACCATCGGTCTACGCAATTGTGACACGATTACATGCATCAACCAAGTCAGCGAGCCTGACCACCCGATCCCGTTAGTCTCTTACGACAAGCATGGGTTGCTGAAGACCATCCTAACCCGGATCTTCAGGGGTGTGATTAAAATAAGATCTTATATACCGATTCGATTATTCTCTTGAATATTCTCGGAGTAAAAAATCCGTGCCGATGTTCACAAGGAGTCTGAGAAGTTTCTAAGGTACTGATTTAAGTTTTCTTCCAAATCCTTAGCTAAGAAAAAAAGAATATAAAGTATGAATTCACAACGAGTCTCAGTATTACTGACAGCAAAGTATTAGTTTACTATCTTAGATTATTTTAAATCAAAGAAAATGCGAACTCATTGCATCTTGGGATACACAATTTTCACTTTCAAGTTCCGTTATACCTATCAAGTGACATTTTGGATATCCCCTTATCGATGAATAGGAACGAAACACTGAGTGAGTGAGTGAGTTGGGTTTAACGCCGCTTTTAACATTATTTCAGTTATATCACGGCGTGTCAGCTTAATGTGGGAGGAAAGCCCGAAGTGATACAGGTCACAGACGTAAGGAACGAAACACTACACTTTAGAATTTCGTAAGCTTATGAAGGCCTCTAAGAAAACTAAGCACTAACACGCCATGTGAACGTGACTTTACAACTTACTTAAAATTTAAATTGGTTGTTGGGGAAACTTGGATTTCTTTGTGGATTTAAGATATCTTAAGGCTAAAAAGAAGGGTGAGTGAGTATAGTTTAACGCCGCTTTGAACAGCATTCCGGTTATATCACGGAGTCTCAGCTTGATGAGGGAGGAAAGCCCGAAGTGATGCAGGTCTCAGGCGTTTACCACGTGGTGAAACCCACGAGAACGGGTATGATGCTGACAAACCTAGAAACATAATCGGGAAGACCCAGGATTCAATTCCGGGTTCAAAGGTTGCTTGCGTGTCCAATGGACGCAACTCTTCACGGCAAATTACGGCGCCGTAGACGATTGGGCCACTTCTGTCACCGGAAAGGTCTCAGAAGCTTTGTGAATACTGGCCATGGCTTTAATTAGAATGGTCACTGAGGCGATTAAGGTGATGGGGAATACCCGAATCTCCACGAGGCCTGGTGTGTGGGATCAGTGTACGACCCTGCAAACACGAAAACGTCGGGTTTTTTGTGTGTATGTATATGGTAATTGGACGGAAACACGACTTAACATTCAATAAAAATGATTAATTGGTGACCGTCCAGAAAATGTCCGGAATGTGTCGAGTTTTTCAAGCGTAAATAGACGGAAAAACGATGCTGTTTGCTCCGCCGTGTACAGATGTGAACGGCCAATCACATTGCGCGGCCCCCTGACGCACGTAATGTCCTTGGCTTTCAAGCAGGAGGTTTCGTATGTCTGGCTGCCGTTGATGGACTAAAGTGAGTGACTTAATGTGGGGCGAAAGCCCAAAATGATGCAGGTCTCGGGCGTTTACCACTTCGGTGAAACCCATGAGCACGGGTATGGTGCTGACAAACCTAGAAACATAATCGGGGCGAACCGGGATTGAACCCACAATCATAGGTTTCTGGCGGGCCAAGGGACGCAACTCTGCACAGCGAATCGCGGTGCC